AGGCACTTCATTCAGGAGGAGCCGATCATCGGAAGGTTTGGGTGCGAGATGGAAACTGACGAAACACTGGTTATCAAACGCAAATACAACCGCCGACGTTGGGTACGCAGGCACAAGTGGCTGTTTGGAGGCATTGAAAGAGGAAGTGGACTCCTTCGGATGGTCCGAAGGAAGGACGTTTCAACTCTACTGCGGCTCATCATGAAGTAGTACATCGAGCACGGTACTACCATCCTCAGTGGCAGCTGGAGAGCTTACAGTCGAATTGCTGCTCTGCCCAACGCATACAGGCATCTCCAGTGAAAACGTGAAATATGCTTCTGGCTTAGCTCACAGTTTTCCACGGTCTGGCTCCTTCCTGTCGTGGGAAAGTCTCCGATTCGATGACCTTTCCCACGGTCTGGCTCCTTCCTGTCGGGGAAGTCTTCCGATTCGATTGTTTCGATACCCTTTGTTCCAGTCTGACCGCGCTCCGAGAAAAGGTGGCCTAACGAGTATGCGATCATTGACTGTGAAGTGTTGTATATGGTGACAGCAACATGGCGCCGGCCAAGGAGCGTCACGTAAGAATGATGTATATTGCGTGATCAGCGAACGCCAAAATTAACCCCTATGACAGCACGTTTTCAATCAGCGTATTTGGCTGCGAAAGCAGCCGCGTGGCAGCCTAACTAACAGCCGCGGACAACGCGCTAAAATGCAACCGTAGCACTAAAAACGGTTTTCGTAATGCAGGGACTCCATAACCCCGAAATGACGAATTCTCAGGTCGGCAGATTTGGTGAAGAGATGCGATGGCGCCAAATTGCGCAAATCGGCCCCGAATATTGAGCGCCACACGCGCCAAATGGCGCCAGCGGCCTGAAAACGCGGTTGTCGTTTTTCGTTAATCAGGACCCAAATTAACCCCAAATGACGAAGTTTCAGCAGATTTGGTGAAAACAGCCGTGGCGCCAAATGGCGCCAGCGCTGAAAACGGGTGTCGTTTTCGTAATCAGGACCCCAAATAACCCCAAATGACGAAGTTTCAGCAGATTTGGTGAAAACAGCTGTGGCGCCAAATTGGCGCCAAATGGCGCCAAACGGCACCAAATGGCGCCAAATGACACCAGAGCAGGGACATACACATCATACAAAAATAAATGTCATATTCGTAATCAGGGCATCGAATTACCCCAATAGACAAAGTTTCGACGAAAAATGAAACTTTGAGATTTTGGGGCAGTAATCGTGGGATAGCCCAATCCGGCAATAGGGGAAGGCTGAAAACGGTGAAAAACCAAAGTTTCAACTGGGGGAAGTAATGCATATCATTCGATAGCATTTTTCACGGGAAAGCTAACGGGGCACATTTCAGGTCTGCGAGTTCATCTGGAAATGCAAAAAATCTGAACATTCCACAAGGGCATGACGAGGAGGCATGTTTGGGGCCACACCACGGAAGGAACGCTTACTTGCGACCGAGTTTTCCACATAATTCCTACAGACAAGTGACCGTAGTCTAACGACAGTGAAGGAAATTGTTCGCTATCTTCACAGCTTTCTGCAAAACATGTCCTCTGAAAATGGAAAATGTCACATAATAGGCCCACTATGCCTGCTGAGAACTGTTCAAAGATTCCACTTGATATACAGAGGATGGGATATTGAGAGCAGAGGGAACACGTAAAGCTAGTAAGCGCTTGAAAACGAAATGAAGATCTAAGAATTCGGGAAAATAACATTCATCTAATCTCACAATGTAGTGGATGAGATTGAGTACGTGGCGCATTCTGGGGTAAGTTTTGAGGCCCTTCTTTGTGTGTAGCGGTTAGCCCGCATAAGCGGGATTATATACACATCACATGCGAGCAACTACTTTTTGAGATGAAATCGTGTGCATGGCGCATTCCGAAATCAAGCTTTCTGAAAATATTTTAGCACCATCTTGTAGCGCTTGAAGAGCTGAGTTCAACGGTGTTTTCCGTTTCTGGAATACTTCACTCTGACCCCGACTTATAACGAATTCACGAAATTAACGAGGATTCGCGTTATTCGCGTGAATTTTCGATTTCAAACGGCGAGTACTGTAGTTCATTCTCTACGGAAGCAATATTATCGGATGTTTCTAGCGTTATTAGAGTCGAGTAAGCATAAGAAGAATGATCATTCACAAAAAAGTATCTTCACAAGAAAGTTGGTCCTCTTCAAATACTTCGAAAGGTGGTTGGCATGTCCGTTTCCCCCAACATTCCCAAGTCATTTTGTGGCTGTTCGATGGATCTTAGCATCGTGTGTGGTATTCTCTTAGATTTGCTTCTAAAGCCACACGCGCTGACCATTGTGGGCCTCGAGCGCCATCGGCTCCATGCTGAGGGGCTAGGTCGCCCGAAGACACCCACCAGTGAGTCATTCTAGCGGTGGTCTCAACCAAAATCTTACCGTATGTCTTGGTTGAGTCGACTGTTACTTGTGTTTTACGGCTCTCCCCCTAGGTTCTTCTGTTCTATGGGGACTGTTTCAAAGTTTGAAATGATGTTCGCGGAAGGTCGCACTGATCTTTGACTTTCCAGGCTCTGACGAAGGCGACTAAGCCGAAACCTCAGCCGAATAAAGTCTTGTAACATCTCGGCTTGTGGCTTTAGAAGCGAATCTAAGAGAAGTGTCATCCAGTATCGAGACACCAATTAACTCCATGTATACAGGTTTACACCGAATTTGATGAAAGCAGCCGTCGTGACAAGGTGGCGGCATTTTGCGCCAAATGGCTAGTAATCAGGGCATCGAAATATCTCTATAGGCAAAGTTTCGACGAAAAATAAAATTAAGAGTTTTTTGGGTGTGTAATTCAGTTTTGTGTGGAAACAGTGCTTTTCCCTCGAATTTGCTATCTTTCTCCCCAGCAGTTTTCAACGAGGATCTTGATGGCTGACCATCTCTTCCTCAAGCCTGCCTTCGGTCTGCGCGCTTCTTCAAATTCGTTAATTTATCAACACTTGCCATTAGTTGCCTGTATGAAGAGTTTGCGAGCAGTTCCCACAACCTCTTGCCTGCGAGACAGGGCACTACCGCTGCGCTTCCTTGCTTTATAACTCCGTTCAAAAAATCGTTTAGCAGATCGGGAAGACAGTTTTGAGCTCAGCGTCTCGAGGCGAGTGCAAGGGTATACAGCTCATTACAAATGGCCGGACCGGCCTGATGACCTTCCCTGGTAAGGCATCCCATTGTTAAAGGCAGCTCTTCATGATTCAGGCCCCAAGAGCTAGGATCTACACATAGTCGTTCCAAGTTATTGTAACAAGGGTAAAACCACCGGATTTTCAGAGTAATATAGTGAAATTATGAAATTTTTCGCTTCTTCTCCATCTCAGACGAACTTATGCCTTTAGTTGACCCCATTCATCTCATTAAACATTTCCTTCTATAAGAAAATTTCAGAAGCCAAAGTATGCTACACAGCTACCTACAAATATCTATACTTCATCAAGTGATGCTGGATGTGGAATCAAACTCCAAATAGGCAAGGAATATCTTCTTGCAGGTAAGATTAGTAGATTATTTTCCTGAACGCAATCCTCGGAATAAGGCTCACTTGTGAGAACCAAGCCACGAGTGAACGTGCTGGTATTTGGCGCTCCGTATTTACAGGGGTCGTGTCAGCTTGGTCGCACAAAATACGTGGGTAAAGGAAGTGGTCACGATAAATCCATTGGGGACGGTAAGGAAAGTCAGGGGTAAGGGTCTTACCCGAAGAGACGATGGGTGACGCTTCAAGGGCACTGGCGCCATATCAGCGGAGTGATAAGACCTTCAAAAGAAGCGATCACGCTGGCTTCCACGCTGGATTTGCTACCCTCGCGTTATCAATCGATAAGGTGTGAGGCAGTAATTGTTGGACGAGTGTAAGCCCATGGAAGATATGATACGATGAGATAAGAAGGTGCGGCTGCTTGATAAGAGGTGCACTCCAGAATGAAAACGGGACGATAACGATAACGGTATCATATCTAGCACGCTCTTATCGCACCCCTTCCACATCGATAAGGTGTTTTGCTAACCGGAAGTGGATTTCGGCGCCTTATCACTCCGTTGATAAGGCGCCACTGCCACTGAAACGTCACCTGTTGTCTCATTGGGCAGGACCCCTACCCAATCCACTATGTGGCTTTCCTTATCGTCCCAAATGGAATTATTGTGACCACTTCCTTTAAGGCGCTTTCACACCTACAGACTTGTAGTCATCGCAACGCTCTCCGCCCACCGCGGTTATGTGGAGATCAGCGTGCTCTCTCGTAAGGCGTGCTCTCTTGCGTGTTTTGTCTTTTCTGGTCGCACTGCCTCCCTTCGTCCCACATCCGACCTTACTGGAAATTAGCCCTTAATTTCAGCTTAACTTTGATGGTTTCCCTTGTTTTCCTTTCCACTTTCAGTTCACTCCACCGCTCATCCATCATTATAAAGCGCTCTTATAAACAGTTAGCCCGGGAATGGCCGTTAACGCCAACTTCTTGGTTCTAGCTCTCGTGTTCCATTTTTTGTACTACCAGAATAGAGATAGAAAATTGTTACATAATTTTGCAAGTGGGGCTGCAAACAATAAAGGGGTTCTTGATGCCC